ACCAGGTGAGCTACCAGGGTGTCCCTTGTCCCCGGGATTAATCAATATACATATTAATAGTTTCACAGAGTGCAACAACTCCTAACTTTTACCTGTTTGATGCGTGTGCTTTGCTGTTTGTCAGCGTTGTTGGCCAGTTTGAGGTACTCAGCAACGTTGTCATCCCTGGCTGTCTGCTCGATCTTAATCTGCTCTGTGAGCTTGAGGATTTTCTGCTGCAGCTGGGCAATTGCCTGCTTAGTGCGCTGAGGGTCTGGGGTGCCATCCTCACCTCCCTGGAAAGAACCGTCTGCTCCACATGAAACAGCCAGGGGTGTTTGTCCTAGCCCGCTCACCTCCAGCCGGTCGATCTGAAGTGAGGATATGGGAAAAGAAGAGAGGGAGATTGGGTAGGTATAGAGTCAGGGGAGGAAATAAGGGATTGAAGAGGAAAATAAAAGAGGGGGGAACAAGGAAGAAAAAGTGTGAGTTGCATGGTGAGGGTTCTTAGTCATTTTGCTGACATACAATAAAAAGCAGAGGCTTCTGCATTTCTGCAGCCAGTCGCCTGTAAAAAGGGCAAACTGAGCCAGTTGAAAAGGCCACTCGCGGTCAGTTCCCCAGAACAGAAAGACGCAAGATATGATATTTTCATTCAGGGCTTTACAAAGAAAAGAAAGTGAAAAATACTTTTATATTTTTCAAAAAGCGAATGCAAACAAAACTCAATACCTCCAGGTGTGAATCTAGAGCTATCCACACATCTCTGTTTCTTTGGTTAAACAGACAAGATCAGAATGAAAAGAGCATCAGCCCAATCTCTGTTTGTTTGTTCAGGGAGTGACAATGTAGGACAAGACTGACAGGATATTAGATTAAGAATATTTGTCTGTGTTGCTTTATCAGATACTAACGAGAAGCCACAAAGCATGTGTGTACAAATCAAAGACACTATCTAAATTGGAGTTTACTTTATTTGCCTAAAACTAGATACAATCTACTTGAGAAGATGATGAACCTAGCACCTAAGCATCCGATGTGACTCATTTCCTCAAACACCTCAGGGGACGAACAAACAGAACATTGGGACGCTGCTGAAACTGATCCTGCTTGCGGGGGGGATCAAAATATTCTCATCACTACAAAATAAGCAGCTGAGCCCGACAGCACACCGTAGGGGGTCCAAAGCCACCCAGAGAAACTAAAAGCAAGAGGATCAGAGAAACCGAGGCATCCACCACACATTACAGCATTACTACCACTCCATAACAGGTAAAAACGAACGGCACGAGAGGCTCACCTGCATGCGCAACAGAATGACTAATTGATGACAGACACCACAGTCAACAACACAAACCACAACGCATCCGGGAGAAAGAGAAGCTTCTTTTTCCCAGTTGATTTCAAATATGGGCAAATAAAACCAAACCAGCAAACTATCTGACAAGTCGTCTTCTGTCACAAAAGCGACCTCAACGTGCGCAAAAAAA